ATATATCTTTTATAATAAGGTAATATAAAAAAAAGGATTACTAAGAGAAATTCTATTAAATAGAGAATTAATATTTGCCTTTAAATTCTAGTAATTACTTATAATATATATAAGAGTTAATTACCAACTTATTATAGTATTTAGACTATAGGCAGATAGCTAAATAAAATAAATAAACTAAGTATTAGAATAATACTTATAGTATTATATTAATTATAAATAAAATAATTAGGTTAAGAAGCTATTAAGCGCCTAATTAGCCTATAATACTATATATAATAAAAGTATAAAACTTATACTATTTAATATAAATATTAGATTTATATCTAATATATATTATAATACTTAGGAACCTAAAGACATAAACCTAATAGCTATTATTATAAGTAATAAACTTAAAGAAGTATATAAAGAACTTAAGACTAAGTTAGAATTTATTAAAAAAAGGATATAAAAATACTATAACCCTAAAAGGTTAAAGGGACTAACCTTTATAGAGGGAGATATAGTCTACTTATCTATTAAAAATATTAAAACAGATTAACTAAGTTATAAACTGGATTATAAGTACTTAGGATTAGTTAAGATTAAATAAAAGATAAGAAAAGATTAATATAAATTAAATCTGCCTCTAAATATTAGATATTACTTAATCTATTATATTTTAATATTAGAATTAGCTGCAGATATAATATATATTAAGACTAGTAATAAACTATAAGAAATTATAGGACTAGAGGTATATAAAGTAGAAGAAATTAGAGATATATAAAAGATTAATAGATAAAAAATATACCTAATTAAATAGAAAAATTACCTAGAAAGCGAAAATATATAGGAACTAATAAAATACCTTATAAATACCTAATAACTTTTAAAGAATTTTTACTAATAATCTTAAAAAGAGAAGAATTAAAAACCATATTCTAGTTAATAATATTAGTATTACTAAAAGATTAAATATTTAGGATTATTATATCCTCCTCCTAAGTAATAATATTACTAGTAGAGGAATTTAAATTATTAATAATAGATTAAATTCCTTGCTTCTATAATAAATATTTTATATAATAAATATAAGATAATCTTATAATAGCCTTATTTACTTTTTGCTAAGCCTTAAGAAGTTTTTCCTTAGCTTCTTTTTTTACCTACTTTAAATAGTTAGATTTATAATTTAAGTAAGGAACTAAGAGGAATAATTAGTAGAACTTAGTAATAAATAGGAAAAGAATATATAATAAGTAATTATAATACTAAAAGTATTATAGGACTAATCTTATTAAGTATATTTAAAGTAATAAGAAGAATACTTAATTATTTTATAATAAAGACTCTTAGCCTTATAGAAGGAATAAGATATAATATTAAAATTAAATTTTATAATTAAATCTGCTAAATAGATATACTTTAAAGTCTTATAAGGTTTTAATTAAAGATTCTGTAATATAATAATTAGTAAATATACTAGAGAAATAATTAAGAAAGAGAGTTAATGCTTTCTAAAGCCTAATATAAGAATAGGGAGATATATAAGTCTTAAGGGTAAGACTTAATAGAGGGGAGATATTATATTATAACCCCTGTGTTTATATTATATAGCCCCTATAATTTTTACTAATTATTATAGGATTACTTCTCTTAGTAATAATCCTCTTTTATTAGATTACTTAGATTATAATACTCTAAGATTAAATTACTATAAATTATAACTAATCCCTATAGATTTAACCCTTAGATTACTTATATTCTCTACTAAGCTATAAGACTACTTTTAGTATATAAATTATACTTATTAGTATTTTTATAAATCTAACTTACTAGCTATTAATAAAACTTCTTTATATTAATAAGCCTAATAAGCCTTACTTAATTATTAAGAGATATAATATCTAACTTACTTAGTCTTAATGCCCTATGCTATTTATAAATATAAATCTAGTATGGACTAGTTTCCCTGTTTAAAACCATATTTATTATACTTAGCAGCTTCTATAGCTAAAGAGATCTTTGTAGGCCTAGCTAGGTTAGTCTAAAATACCTCTAGAAGGTCTTCTTAGACCTTGTATAGGCTATTTTAGCCTTATATCTCTCTCTTTAGCTTCCCCTAGCTATATCCCCTCTTTGCTAGCTTTTCTAGCTATATCTCTTTCCTAGCTTATCTTAGCTATACTTCTCTTTATTACCTATTTAGGCTATATCTCTTATTTTAGCCTATTTTCCTATTTATTCCTTTTTATCCCTCTTTTTATTCCTCTTTTTATCTCTCTTATTACCTCTCTTTTTACCTCTCTTTTTACCTCTTTTTTTATCTCCTTATTTTCTATTTTTACTTATATTTATATTTCCTTATTATCTTCTTTTAGAAAAATCTCTACTTCTTCTTATTAGCTAAATCTTAGTTAAAGAAAAACACTAAGGCAAAGATAGTTTAAATAGTTAATACTAACCCTATCCTAACCCTAAGCTCTGCTTTAGCTTATTATTTCTTATTAATTACTTTAAAATTATCTTTAAGGGTTTATTTAAAATTATCCTAATCTCTAAAGATATTCTAGGTTTTTTATTCTTATAGCTCTTCTTTATTATTAAGGAAGTCTTATATAATAGGTTTCTATTAATCCTTAGTATCTCTTTAAATTAAAGATAAAATATATAATACTTTCTTAGTAGTAATATTTAATTAATTTAAAAATAGGTAAAAGCATACTTTTATATAAATAAAAAATAAAAATATATTTATAGCTTTTCTAGTAAATAGTTTTAGCTTAGGTAGTTTAAGTACTTTATTAATATCTTACTTAATATAAGTAGTTTATATATTTATAATAAGTTATTTATTAATATAGGTATAAAGGGTATTAATAATACCTTATATTTATTAGATTTTAATTATAAGTTTAGCTATATTAAGTAATACTTTAATATAAAGAGGTATTAACCTAATATTAATATTACTAGATATTTTAATAGTATAATATTACTTAATTATTTATATAATATATTTTAAATAAGAGCTATTAATATATAATAACTAGGGTTTTAAATAAGGAAACTAATCCATATTAGGTTTATATTTATAAATAATATAAGGCATTAAACTAAGTAGGTTAATTATTATATCTCTTAATAATTAAGTAATACTTATTAGGCTTATTAATATAAAGAAGTTTTATTAATAGTTAGTAAGTTAGATTTATAAAGATATTAATAAATATAATTTATATACTAGAAGTAATTTAAGAGGATTACTAAGGGGGTTAAATTATAATAATCCTAGATTATAATAATTCTTAGAGTATTATAATCCTATCTATAAGGTAATTTAGCTTTAATTAGTTTATAACTATTTAAGGGGCTAATACCTCATACGAGTTTTTATAATATATATATAATATAGCTACTAAGGTTATAATATTAAAGTTTTAAATATTATCTAATTAGATATTATATTTTATAATTATATTTTATATAAGCCTAAATTAATTATAAATAATAATTAAATCCTTATATTTAGTTCTCTAATAGTTATATTTATAAAATAAATCTATTTTTAGCTTTAATTATTACTTTATAAAGTTATAAGCCTAGTACTTACTAATAAGTAATATATTATAATTAGTTAATAGAGAATTAATTATTTTTTTTATAAAATTTAAGTATAAGAAAAATCCTTATAAATTTAAATTAAGGATAAATTATATTATTATTAACTTTTTTAAATTAGATAGTTTTTATAAGTTTAGGATAAAATTATATTATAATTAATTGCTATTTTAATAACAATATAGGCGCCTCTTATTAATCTTATAATTCTTTATAATATATTAAATACTAAGTTTTAAATTATTTTAAAGGGCCTAAAGTATAAGAAGAGTTCTAGCTTTATCTAAAGGTTATAGTATTTTTAGTTATTAAGAATTATCTAATTAGATAAAAAGTTAAATATAAGAGGGAAAAATACAGCGCTTACTTATCTGCAGTGCTTACTTATTAACTATATTATAATATTAAAGTTTAAAAATAATATATAGAAAATAAAATTATAACATATAAATTAATTAATTTTATAATATATATTAACCTTAAGAGAGAAAAATATCTACCTTAATAAATAAGAGTTCTTTCCTTATTATAATATATTATATAAAAGGCATTTTTATATACCTCAGTATGGGTATAGTGAATGGTTAGCCCTGGTCTTGTTCTAATACGTAAATGCATAAGCAGAGGCTGCCTAATCCAAAGCCACAGCGGCTAAAACTCCTAACTGTAACAAATCAGCAATTGCCACAGGGCCAACATGAGGAGAGGCTGCATCCGGGGCGCGGCACGGGCCATTAGATAATCGAATATAAAGGCCTAAGACCCGATTTTCAGACTTGATCCGCGTCCACCTGTTGCTTTTTGAGTCTCCGTCTTTGTGCCCTTGTCGTCACCACTGTCATGTCAACAGAACAACATTCCGAACCTGATTCTGCCCCTATCAAGCTTCTTTCTCTCGGTACGATCGATAAGTCTACCAAATTTATTGGATAATTATCTCGCTAATGTACGCGCTGCAACAGATGGAGGAGGAATCCGGGGCCTATCATCCCTCATCATCCTGAAGTACCTAATGAAACGAGTCAGGCCGGACAACCCCCCCAAACCATGCGAATATTTCGACCTGATTGGAGGGACAAGCACTGGCGGGTGGGTGTTTCTTCCCTTGACTCACCAAAGATTTACTTATGTTACAGACTTATCGCTATCATGCTTGGTCGGCTCCGCATGGATGTAGACACCTGCATTGAAAAGTATGGCGAGCTTTCTTCGCGTGTGTTCCAACCGAAGCGGGCAGGAGTAAACCTCCTGGGCAAATTGAAAGATTTCGCCAAGGCGGAGGGGAAGTATCGCTCTGGCCGTCTTGAGCAGGAGATCAAGAATATGGTAGAGGAGGTTGAGGGCGATGCGCAGTCGAGGCTCCTTCAGATCGGCCCAGACCCCGAATGCAGAGTGTAAAGACAATTCGAAACTGGATCATTTCATGCTAGGTTATAAAGCTAACGTGGCATCAGTTTTGTATGTGCCTTCACGAATGATCTCAACGTCCCTGTCCGACTCCGGTCCTATTCTACGGCAGACTCTGTCGATTCTCTTTCTGGATCACGCTGCGCCATCTGGGAGGCCGCACGAGCCACATCCGCCGCAGCCACATTCTTCGATCGGATCCAGGTCGGACGTCAATATTACGTTGATGGGGCCACAGGCTACAACAACCCAGTAGAAGTAGTTCTCGAAGAAGCCAAGTCTATATGGCCAGACGCACTGGCGAGAATCCAATGCCTCGTAAGCATCGGGACGGGGGTTCCAGACCCAAGGGACTTTGGCGACAACCTCAAGGGCGTATTCGAAACAGTGAAAGAGATCGCGACAGAAACAGAGATAACACAGAAGAGATTCTTGAAAAACCACGTTCATTTAGGCGTCAAGGGTCGTTACTTCCGGCTCAACGTCAATGAGGGCCGCCTTACGGGAGTTGGGTTGGACGAGCATAAGAAGCAGGGTAGAATAGAGATTGCGAGCGAAGATTATCTCGAGGATCCTCAAACCAGAACACTGGTCGATGAATTTCTTGCAGTTCGTGCACCGCTGGCACACAGAACAAGTGAGACCCCAGGTCAGTAAAGGGCTTTGGATTACAATGAGGCGGCTTGTCTTATGATAAATAGTCAATCAAATTTCGTTGGTGCCATATCTCGAAAACACCAAGTTCTCTGGCCGCGGAGACATCATTCTTGCAATGAAGCAGTTTTTCACGGCTAAATCTGGAATCCATAGTGGTCAGAAACGACTCATCCTGCAGGGCTTTCCCGGCATCGGGAAGACTTCACTTGCTCTTCATTACTCGTTTGAACATGGCAACGCGTATGATGGGATATTTTGGATCAACGCTCATGTTACTGACACGCCTGCAGACTCAGGTCACCATAAAACCGCTCGAGAAGCCATTCACCAAGAGCTCCTAAGGATTGATGAGGAGATCAGCAAGAGCACAAATATGCCTCTGGCCAAATGGTGTTTGACAAAGAGATGGCTCCTCATCATAGACAATCTTGAAGATTCTACTGCCTTTCAAGCACAAGCAGCAATCCCGCGAGGGGTGGGAGGGAATGTCATCATTACGAGCCGTCGCACAGATTTGAATCAAGTCGGAACCGTTATGATAATTCCACCTCTGAAAGAAAAGGAAGCCGCCAAACTACTCCTTCTCTATAGCGAGAATCGAGAACCAGAAAAAGAGGACCAAGGCAACTCTCTCGAAATTGTCGAAAAGCTCGGCCATGTCCCCCTTGCTATTCGACAATTTGGATGCCTTGTGAGTGAACAAAGGGAAAGTCTGTCATCGTACATGGGCGAGTTTGATCATCTGATGAAAGAATTGGCATCGTCCGGTCGAGAATTCTCTGGCCAAACATTTGAACTTAACGATTCAAGGCCCTTGCTGGCAAGCTTTGAGCTCTCTCTCGGGTACCTGTCGAAAGCTTCAAAACACGCGGCTGCTTTGCTCCAGCTGATGGCAAACTTTGAGGCCACCGACATCTCGCAATCAATGCTGCACAGGAGCTTGCAGAAACAGAAGAGATGGGATGAAAATGGGAATATCAGTACTTGCTTCGTCAAAAGTATGAGTGGATGGCTCAAGGATCTCTCAGAGAGTAGCGGCAGAGGTCTAGAAGACGCTCTAGAATCACTTGTCAAGTTTTCATTGCTGTTTCGGAAGAAGCGAAAGGGTCATTTCTTTCTCCATCCCGTGAGTCAAACGCCATCTTCATCGTAGACCAGTTCATCCCGCTGACAGTCGATATAGCTCACCCACTTCTGGTTGCGTTGGAAGCAAGATACAAGAACCGCAGACTCCGTTCCTGATTCTTTCAAAGACTCTCTGTCCTTGTTGCTAAACGGCTTCCCTCATCCTGACTTCTCTAGTGTGTATGGTCTGTCCGCTCAGCAACTTGACCTCCGTGCATTGTTTGTGCCGCATGTTGAAAGCCTATTGAGACAGTATCAGCAACTTAAGAGTCGCATCATGAAGGACGAGGCCTTGTTATTACAACTATCAGATCTGTTTCTCCAGGCATCCAACACCCCAACCACGTTGCGGCCGGTGCAGCAACAGGTGAAACATATTCTCGCTGGCATTGGCGTGCCCTCGCCCGGAGGCTTCCCAATGGATTCCTCCAAACAAGACGCACCATTCCTGCCAGCATTGAAGGAAATCATGATACGACTTGACTACCCTGCGACGCTGTTTCTGTGGGCAGTTTATGTGTTTTTCGACTATGAGTGTCAGCAATGGCAGGACTCGAATCCAGGAAGTGTATACCGAGTCGAACATATTCAATTCGGCGGCAAACCTCTTGCCGAAGTCAGGGCCCGCATCATAGGTCAAGATCCAACTGAGCCAGCTTGGATTCACAATGGGATCTTTCTTGTGACTGACAGCATCGGCATTGACTTGGATTCTATGCGCGACATCGCTGCGATTATGCCACTGAAGGCAGGCCCCGAGAAGGAAGACCGCACGGCACCTGCTACCCAAAGTTTACAGAGCGGAATCTTTGGCCTCATAGGTATGGTTTCCAGTTAACTGAATAAGATGGACACTGGCTAACCTCCCAAGCGTTCAAATACTTTCGGCAAGTCGTGTTTTCTGTCCTGACCGTAAAGCAGGAACCAGGCACAAGACGGCTCCAGATCGACATTGCCAGTCGCATGGCTCTTCCTAGCTACATAGCCTTGAGTTGGATTCTCTGTTTCCATTTAAACCCTCCGTTGGGTAGCAATGACTTGCCCACGATGGACAAAGCTACCGAAACACTTGATGCCAACCTGCCATTGAGTTGCAAGACCTTTTGCGATCTTACCAGGTTCGCCGAAGCTCAGATGCTGCTTTCAGCTTTCGAGAGCAGGGGGTACAGCACCGATATCTTGGATCCCCTCCAGCTGTGGGCGAACAGTCTAGGCGGCAGAGCTGCAGAGAGGGTCGCCTGGATCTGCAAGACGATGGGCCCCGAATCTGTGGTGGGTGCTGAAAGTCTAATGATGCTCATTTCCTGTGATGAGGAACCAATGCCTCAAGATCTTGTTCAGAAGGTGCTCAACAGTCCCATCACGAAGGATAACTTTGCCTTTAAAATTGGATTGATCGGCCATTGGCACAGGCGCCTGGCAGCATCCGGCTCTACAGAAAAGGCGATGGAGTTGGTTCTTACCTGGATTAAGCACTTTTCAATCTGTGAAAAGAATATCAGAGACACCTGGCACTTTTATAATGACCCTGTGTTGGACTTGTATGAATTTGCTATCCAGCTGAATGAGACGCAACCTCAACTTCAAGAAGAGACAGCAGTCTACAGGAATCAATATTTAAAATACTCTTGGGAGCATTACGGCCAATTTCACCAATGCCTGGCCCTTGGCTGTGGGGTAGGAATCTTCGGAATGGGCTTCGGAAGGTTAAAGGTAGGTATGAACGGACTGCCGGGCAAGCCGGGATCGAAGGCGAATCAAGACGACCCCTGGGTCCAACTTTTCCTTTTTCTCCAAAGAAGGTTCTTGCCTGCGGCTCGGGAAAACGCACAGGCGCAAGAGACTGAAACAGGCGCGAGAAATCGAGCCTTCCTGGAGCCATTATTTAGTGACCCTGTTCTAGCAGACAAGGGGATTGATGCCATTCTGTTGGAGGAGGACAGAGCGAAAGAACACGCATTAAGACAAGCAGGACTTTTTGCCTTTTTGGAAGAAGTTTCGGGCCACAAACCAAACGAACCCGTCATTCATAGAGGCAGAACTCAATGGGGACCCGCCGAGCCCAATCTTTTACTTTTTCCGCTCGATAAGGAGAAAATTGAGGCCGAGCGTCAATTTGTCAAAGGCATGACACGAGAAGCCCTAAAAGAGTTCTGTGAGGCTGTGAACAATGCAGAGGGAATGTTTCCACCAGGTTGGGAGCAACGGGAGACAAAGGACGCCCGTCCATACTTTGTTGATCACAACACAAAAACCACAACATGGGACGATCCTCGAGAGAAGGCCTATGCTGGGCTAAGGCTTACTGTGCAGGACTTGAAGAAGTATATCTGTTATATTTTCTAAAGAGTATTGTTTTTCTTATAAGGTTTGCAGGTTTTGTAGGTAACCTAAGATATTCTTAGATTCTTTGTTAATTTTGTCTTTTCCCGCTATTATATATATTTTTTCTTTTATTTAATATAGTTATAATGATCCACTTTTCCCTTTCCAATATAGCTACCTTTTCCTATAACTCTTGCCTCTTTTAAATCTCCTTACCCATGTTCTCCTTCTAAGTAGTTTATTATAATTCTAAGGCAGTAATTCTTTAATTTAGGGCTATAAGAGTCTTATCCCCTAAAGGGCTTTTCTCACTCTTATAGCTATGTAGTTCTAATTAAGGGCGTTTTCTTTATTACCTAGGTGAATTAAAAGAAATTAATAGCACCTTATTATAACTAAGTGGGTAGCCTAACTAAGTATAAGGCACCTATTCTAGATAGGAAGGGAAATAAGTAATCTAGGCGCCTTAACTGTAATAAAGGCTCTGTGAGTTAAGCTAGTTTTTATAAGTTAATTAATAATAACCCTTATTTATTATATTATAAGTAAAGTTTATTTAAGCTTTATATAAAGTATTATAGTTATTATATATAGAGATAGAGCTTACTTATAGTATTTTATAAATATTATTAAAAATAAGATTAAATTATATATAATCTTATATTAACTGTTATTTTATATAGAAAGGAATGAAAATAGTAATATTCTTATTAAGCTTAAGATTAAGGCAGATTTAACTATAGAATATAATTAAGTCAGCTAATAAACCACGAACCAAGACCCAAAGCCAATGCAATGCCTTGGAAATAACAGTGGCTTGCGGGCAGCACCGCGCCTTTATGTTTGCCTCTCCTCGATGCCAACACTTATCTGCCTCGCTTATGTAAGCTTCCTTGTCGAGCTAGAGCAGCACCTTATTAGCAAGACGCCTAATTGCTATCCATTCTCAGAGCTACTGTGCTCAGTAGATACGCCATTAGACACCTTTTCCGCAGCCCTACTCCCACGAATCACATATCTTGCTCATTTGCCATCGATTCGGGATGTAGTATGCCGTCCCTTCTTCTCTTCGTGATGAGCTCAGACTTACAATATATGTCTTGGACACGTTCGTGACCCCCGATAATATATACCCGGCGTTTGTGATTGAACTGCCGATTACGCTTTTTCTACGGGCAACCCATGATGTCGGCTTTTTTGATGCCCGGGATATATTGTCAGTCATCATGGAAGACATACCCCAGACCTCAATACGCACAGAGAATCCTGTGAAGATCTGACACATCGACATCTGCACAAAAGGTACTATCGGGATCTGTTCTTATCTAAAACGCAAGTCACCTATCGACATGAGGGAACTATGATCATTACGCAAGTCACTGCAATGGAAAGTTGATGTCACAGGGAGATCTCTTCAAATTGATAACTCTCTCATATTCCAGCGTAACAGAATCCCCAGTTCATCCAAAACGCCATCGACATAAGGAAACCCTCCAGTAACTTCAACAGTCCCCTTCGCCCTCCTATCCGGCGAATAGTTTTTCTCCATCATCCATATCCCGATCTGCTCGTTGTTGAAAGCGTCAACCTCTATGACGGTCGGAAAGGCGATGAGATGAACGGCCGTCGGAAAGTTTCCGACGCTTCGCAGCAGGTTGACCATCCGTGTCGTCGTCATCAACACGTCCCCGCTGAGCCCTCTTCTCAGCTGTTGAAGGACCTAACGTCAACCGCTCAAACACAAGTCGCAATTGTTGTCCAACAGTAAAACAATCACACGGCGAGATGTCTGTCAGTTCCTGCTGTGGTCGAATGGCCTCAGGAGTCGCTGGCTGTTCAGATGGGATCAAGGGACCAATCTCAGTGACACTGGTTTGGAGCGTTTGAGCGAGATCGGGCTCGGGCTCTGATTCGATAATATTGAGCAACTCTTGTGCGTGTTTTCTGTACCGCTCAAGAAAATTGTGGATGGTGTCGTTTTTCGCCTGGCCACAGAGCTCAGCGAAGTATTTGCGGATGTTATCTCCTCGAATTCGTTCGTCGGGAGAAGTCATTGTTGACTCTTAGGTGCGTGCACTAGCTTTGATGGGTAAGAGATAAGGATATACGGAAGTGACGGCTGTATGCTCAGTTGTGACAGATCACAAGTCAGAGTCCAGCCGGCGAAATAACTTTTATACCTGGGGTTTCTGTGGTGGCTGCAATGTCTCTTGGCGATGGCCGCCTTTGAAGCGGTAGATGTGAAGAAAGGTTTGTACTGTGGCATCTGCATAATATGTAAAAGGGACGTCAAAGAAAGCGATCTGCAGTTGCCCTTTGCAATAATTCAAATTCCCATGTCCTTTTATAATTACCGATTCATTGATCTATTGTACTAGGAGTTGATGAAGACTTTGGGTTCCTCTGATGGGTGAATATGCCCGATTAGGACAACCATTGTAGTCTACCAGAGGGGGAATGCGCCAAAAATTTGAGCTTGAAAATATGACTGATCAAATTGCATTCGCAAGGTGCTTCACATCCGATTGTTGTATAATAAAAGAAAAGAAAAGATATCTATAAGCTAGACTTACCTCTAATAACTTAATACCACCTAGTATATTATATCTTAATATTGAAATCAGCAGCAGATATAATATATATTAAAACTAGTAATAAATTATAATAAATTATAAGACTAGAGGTCTATAAGGCAGAAGCTATTAGGGATATAAATAAAATTAATAAATAAATTATATACCTAATTAAATAGAAAAACTACTAAGAAAATAAAAATATATAAGAATTACTAAAATACCTTATAAATACCTAATAACTCTTAAAGAACTTCTATTAATATTAAAACCAGAAGAATAATTAATAAAGGCACTTAAACTAAGAGAATCCTAATTAGACTACTTAGTAATAGCAGACTAGTCCTAAAAAGTACCCTCTACTATAGTATTCTCTAATATAGCTTACTTATTTTATTCTGGCTTTTTTAACTTATCTATAAAACTAAGGCTATATTGAATTATATTTATACCTCTTACCTCTACTTAATAATACTAGTGCCATAAATAAGTAATTTTAGTAAATTAAGTACTTCTTATATTATAAATATAAGTAGACTTTACCTAAAGGTTAATTAATTTATTCTTAGCTGCCTCTTTTTTATACTTAAGGTAATACTTTTTATTAATAATCTTTTAAGTTAATAGTATATTAGTAAACCTATAAAATAATTTTATATTAAATAAATATACTAGCTACTATAAATAAATTATAATTATTATAAGATATCTTAGATTTAATATAAAGATTATAATAATTTAATTTTATAAGATTAAAAATATATAAATCTTCTATCTTTAAATAAACATAATTAGAATAAGGCATTATAGGATTCTTAAATACTATAATAAGAATATAAAGAGATTTTCAGTTTTTAATAAAGGTTTTCTTAGCCTTTGCTATATAGTTAGATATCTTAAGGGGATTATAGGATTAAGATTAGACTTACCTAGGGATAACTAATAGATAATATAATAACTAGGCCTTAAGGGCAAGGCCTAATAGAGGGGAGAGATTATATTATAACCCTAGTAGTTTTATTATATATACCTTATATTTTCTACTAATTATAATATGCCCTATTATATAAATTAATACTAAGACCCTATAATTATAAATAATCTATTATAATTAATATTAATTTAATATAATTATTACTAATCCTATAATAACCTTACTAATTATTACTATTATTTACTAGTATATAAACTATATTTATTAGCACTTTTATAAACTTAGCTTACTAGCTATTAATAAGACTTCTTTATATTAATAAGCCTAATATATATTACTTAACTATTAAGAGATATAATAACTAACTTACTTAGTTTAATACCCTATGCTATCTGTAAATATAAACTTAGTATAAACTAGTTTCCCTATTTAAAACCATATTTATTATAATAGCTTTATTTACCTAACTTTATAAATCTTAGTAGCTTATTAAGGTATTAATTTTAAATTATTTTAAAGGGTATAAAAGGTAAAAGAAATTCTAGCTTTATTTAATAATTATAATATATTTAATAGGAAAGAAGTATTTAATTAAATAGAAATATTATTTAATAAGGGACTTTTATTTTACTTACTTATTAATTTTATTATATATAATAAGTAAGTAAGCTATTATATTTCTAATTATTAAAGCCCTTTTTTAAACTTTTTATAAAGGGTTAATTTAAATTTAAAATACTTTAAAAATATAATATATTATATTTAACTATATTGAAATTTAATGTACCTTATAACTTTTTTTAGATCCTAACACTCTTTATTTAAAAAGAAAGCTATATATCCTAATTTATTCTATTTAGAATTTAATATAAATAACCCTATGCCTATTAGTAAGGCACTTATATAGTTATAGCACTTTAATTATTAGCCCTAGTATATATCCAAAGGTTATGCGGCCTTAGGTTTCCTGTTACCACTATGCTTTCCATCCTTTAGTTAAAAACTCTGCGAGACTACCTCTTTAGCAAAGACTATAATTATATATAGTATCGGAGGTTGCTATACCCTTGACCCTGGTGGTCCTCTTTGTCTCTATCCCGGGGCTTCTTTGGCCGCACGATTGGCCGCTTCCTCGCCGCATATGCCTTTGCACTGGGATCCATTAAATCTTAACAGTCAAGCGTTATGCCCATAGTTCTCTTCTGTTGTCTGCGTTACATCTTGAAGACCCTGATTTCCCTCTGGGTCTCGTCAACGACCTAAAAGCTGCTTAATTATCTGCATCTATTAAGGCTTCCTTACTAATACTGCCTTAATACCTGTCCTCCATGGCGACCTGGAGAGCCAATTAGTTGACTAATAGTTCCCCAGCCTATACTTTCGATACAATGTTGTTACCTATCTAGTTGCTCTTGGCTTGTTCGGTGACGCACACGGCTGTAGCCTAATGTGGCCGCTGATACCGCTCCTATCCGTGCACATACAGGTAGCAGTTGGCTCATTGTCGACGCTATACCGGTGCCTCGCCTGTAATTTCTTGATCCTCTTTTCGATGATCTTGTTCGGGCTTATCCACCATAGTCGTACAGTGTGCGAGATGATTACCTCCATTTCCTTTATATTGAATCCTTGCCCATCCCGGCACGGCTTTCTGTATGTCTTTGTGTGGGCTTATCTTTGCCTTCCGCTTACCTTGGCCATCTAAGCTATGTTGTGGTTCTTGCCCCCCGATGTCTTATCCACAAAAGCCGATTCTTCCCACTCACTAGACGTTATGCTTCCAGATTTGATGCTTAATAGGATAATGTATTTCAACACCTAAAGCCGGGGCTGATGTGGCTTTGAAGGCACCAGAGAATACTCTGGCCTCCTGCGCCTGCAGATTGTACAGTAGAAACATCTGATTCGTCCAACTCTACCTCCTAGGTTCGGTGTTCTCGACTATATGTCCGACACTGAAATTGTCAATATCATGACTCTTCGTGATTGACAGCCTATGATAACAGTGCTTTACCCCATAGCCACTTTACCATTAGACATTCGGAAGGCAGCCCAAGCAAATCCCTTGCTGCCGCCATAATCCGCATATCGTCCTTACAGGCAAGCATTGAGGTCGCTGAAGACATAGGTGAGAGGGAAGGCTCTACACAAGGCTCTGAGCCACCAGTCAAAGTAAATACACCACGGTTTGTGACAATGCCACCTCCATCAGACATAAAAGAAAGAACATTTACATAAATATCAAAAGAAATAACGTCCCCACGATCGCCCGTCTCTGCCTTCCGGATCGGAATCGCCTTATCCTCCCAATTCCGTTCTGATCTATTATACTAGGCCGATGATACCTTTTTAGAGTCATGCGAGAACACCATCGCGTCGTCATGGCCCTCTAGAGCTAACATGCATACGTCCCAGTTATCTTAAACCATTAACAATTACTTATCCATCGTAGTGTAGTATGTTTAAATGCCCTTCCCCGAAAGGTTAGGCAGCTTGCGCCTGCGCAAAGCGTAAATTAAGGCATTTATTATATACTTATTAAGGATTTAGGCATACACAGGGCCACTTTCTTAACACTTATATACTAAGAAAGTGTAATAATAAAGGAAGGTGTGTTAAATATAGCTAACGTACACGATAAGCATGCCGATCAGACAAGCATGCCGATCAAAAATCCCTCAACCTTACATCTAACCATCTAATCAATTGATTCTCAACCAAATAATATGTCTCAATCTAATAAAGAGGCTCAAATCCTTCTTGCACTTCAGGCCTATCAGGCAGACCCAAAATTAAGTCTGCGACGAGCTGCAAAGGTCTATGATGTTAACTTCTCAACC